AGTCCTGGATTGTGAGAGGGATGTCCGACTGCTGGTTTAGGCCCAATCCCTAACCGGCAGTCACACATCCCCCAAAGGGTCCCAGATTGGAGAGGGTGGGCTGAGGAACACTCCCCGCCACTGCATGAATTTCGTGCACTGGGCCTCTAGTCAATTATAAAAACAAACAAAACATATTTAAGAAGATTCCACACCCTAAAAATACACGAGGACCAAGTGCCAAAGCTTAAGTTGGGCACAAATTGACAAAGCAATAAGAAGATATTACTAAAGTCAAGTTGGGAATGGAAATGACTCACATGCAAAGGTTAATTCCCAGGGAACTGAGGAGGAATGTGGCATTTTTTTCTTTTTTGAAATTAAAGGTGATTTTAAGTGGAAAGCTGGTACCCATGAACGTTGGAGGAGAAATTGCTGGGGGAAGGAAGGGCCTTGCAGGACTGACACCTAACGTGCGTGTCAGAGGGCATGGCCTACAGCACAAAGGCCATTCATGCAGCACACCCATGAGGCTGCTGAGGACACAGGCCAACAGGTCTGTCAGCTCATTAGCAAGACGTGTTGGGATGCGGCTCTGGGGTCACCCAGCAGCTTGGTTGCAGCAGCACCCATAATGCTCCTGTTAGCACAGCGTTTGCTCTGCGCAGCATTTGACAGGAATAACTCAAACCGCCCTGACTAAGCCCTGAACTTGTTCGGTAGTTGGTTATTCATGCCCAAGAGTTCTCCTCCTCTTCCCCCAGATGCCCGAGTGAAAGGAGATGAAAGGTCACCGCCCTACCTGCTCGGTGCCTGAGGTCTGGGGCAGGGCCTCCTGGAAGCTAAGCGTGTCCACCCTTGAGACACTAAAAAATACCTCACTGGTATGTGGGGAGGGAGGTCAAGGTTTCATTTACTTAAACCTGATTGTCCTTGTGTGGGAAGCGAATGGGGACATCAACTGGGACACAGGGAAGTGAGAAAAGAAGATGTGAGACCTTCACAAGAGCACTGGGACAGCTACATAAAATCAGGGACACAAATAGGGAACAACAACGCACGTGACTAACTGTGAGGAGCTGAAGGGCCATCTCATGAGTCTATCTAAGGTACAAGGGGAAAACAGCAAACGGGATAAGGTTCAAAGTTAGGTGACAAATCGGAAGGATACTTTCTGCTGCAGATTTAACTTCTTTCCTTTCTTTCTTTCTCATGGTCCTAACTGATGGCCAAGCACATCTGGGGCTCTTCCTGGCTAGTATGTTCTCTGTGACAGGCCAGGCCACTGGGGAGCCACTTAATGTCCCTCGGCCTCATCTTCTCAGGCTAGGCCCTCCCCACCCCCAGCACCACGGCGGCTCTGTGCCCTGGACACGTGCACACAGCGCAAACCTCAGTGGGAACACGGGAGAAAGCAAGTGTCCAGCTGGCGGTGGCTGGGAACCTATTTTTTCCAAGTTCAGGACTGTGCTGGGCACACTGCAAGGCACAGGGGTCACCACGATGGACAGACCCCCATCCCACCAAGGGGAGTCCAGGGCAGGTGGCTGCCGATACTGAGCAGCCCAAGCTGCTGTCCTCCTCCCTTTGCCTGTGTCAACCCAGACAAAAGGGACAGAGATAGGTGCACATACATATGGTTCAGTGATGCTACTGAATATTTTCAAAGTTGCAAACCTTGGCTCTCACGCAAGGTTTAAGCATGCAGCAGGGCAGGCCTGGGTGGGGACTGGGTCTCAGCCTTGGCGCTGAGATCATTACCCCCGTACCCCCATGTGGCAGCATCAGTGCAGGAGCCACACACTGCACTAACCTTGGTGGGTCCTTCACTCCGAGGCGAGGCGTCCCGGGTGACTGCCAAAGCTGGTGGGGTACACTGCTCAGGGGAGATGGTGGGGTACACTGCTCAGGGGAGATGGTGGGGTACACTGCTCAGGGGAGATGGTGGGGTACACTGCTCAGGGGAGATGGTGGGGTACACTGCTCAGGGGAGATGGTGGGGTACACTGCTCAGGGGAGATGGTGGGGTACACTGCTCAGGGGAGATGGTGGGGTACACTGCTCAGGGGAGATGGTGGGGTACACTGCTCAGGGGAGATGGTGGGGTACACTGCTCAGGGGAGATGGTGGGGTACACTGCTCAGGGGAGATGGTGGGGTACACTGCTCAGGGGAGATGGTGGGGTACACTGCTCAGGGGAGATGGTGGGGTACACTGCTCAGGGGAGATGGTGGGGTACACTGCTCAGGGGAGATGGTGGGGTACACTGCTCAGGGGAGATGGTGGGGTACACTGCTCAGGGGAGATGGTGGGGTACACTGCTCAGGGGAGATGGTGGGGTACACTGCTCAGGGGAGATGGTGGGGTACACTGCTCAGGGGAGATGGTGGGGTACACTGCTCAGGGGAGATGGTGGGGTACACTGCTCAGGGGAGATGGTGGGGTACACTGCTCAGGGGAGATGGTGGGGTACACTGCTCAGGGGAGATGGTGGGGTACACTGCTCAGGGGAGATGGTGGGGTACACTGCTCAGGGGAGATGGTGGGGTACACTGCTCAGGGGAGATGGTGGGGTACACTGCTCAGGGGAGATGGTGGGGTACACTGCTCAGGGGAGATGGTGGGGTACACTGCTCAGGGGAGATGGTGGGGTACACTGCTCAGGGGAGATGGTGGGGTACACTGCTCAGGGGAGATGGTGGGGTACACTGCTCAGGGGAGATGGTGGGGTACACTGCTCAGGGGAGATGGTGGGGTACACTGCTCAGGGGAGATGGTGGGGTACACTGCTCAGGGGAGATGGTGGGGTACACTGCTCAGGGGAGATGGTGGGGTACACTGCTCAGGGGAGATGGTGGGGTACACTGCTCAGGGGAGATGGTGGGGTACACTGCTCAGGGGAGATGGTGGGGTACACTGCTCAGGGGAGATGGTGGGGTACACTGCTCAGGGGAGATGGTGGGGTACACTGCTCAGGGGAGATGGTGGGGTACACTGCTCAGGGGAGATGGTGGGGTACACTGCTCAGGGGAGATGGTGGGGTACACTGCTCAGGGGAGGTGGGGGGGGACACTGCTCAGGGGAGATGGTGAGGGACACTGCTCTGGGGAGATGGTGAGGGACACTGCTCGGGCAGATGCTTCCAAAGGGGCTTTGGTGCCTGGCGGTCCCCAGGTGACCGTGAGGCTGTGGAGCGGAGGTGGGAGAAGCGCGTTCACACATAGAATACGCTGACCTTTATTCGGTGACACAGCAATATTTAAATTTACCTTGTGAAAGGGATCCACACCCCATGCTGACACAACAGTGGATCCAAACCAAACCACTAGCAACTGCTGCCAGCACATCCAGTAGGGCATGCGGTTTCAGAACTTGGTTTGTCAGAGTGCTTAATCTGACTGAAAACAGCCGGAGCCCTGATGATGCCATTAGCCGAGTCTGCAGTGACCTCAGGGGCCTACCAGGACCCCACAGAGCCGACCCCGCCCTCACTGCCGTCGGAGCCAACTGCCAATCCCACTGCAATCTCAAGAAACAAAATAGTTCCTCATCCAGAACCAGCTGGCTGGTGCTTTTCTTCTCAAAGAATAAAAGCAAACTGTATAATCCTTTTGACATTGCCATTTAATTTAGATTTTAAAAAGTTAAAAAAATATAAACATTTTAGAGCTTGTAAAAATTTTAACAGATGTCAGGGATCTTGGCCTCACAGAGAATAAGGAAATACGGAATAACAAACACTCACACACAATGGTTGTCAACAAAAGGAAATAAACACCACCACTGGCAGAGAATTTTGAAGGGAGCTGGTGACCCTGCGATAACCTGACCAGTTAGGAGGAAACAACAGGGAAAAAGGAGGGAAGTTTGAACCCCAGCTTGTCCTTTCCTCCAATTCAGTGGTTCTCAACCTTCCTGATGCCGCGACCCTTTAATACAGTTCTTCATGTTGTGGTGACCCCCAATTTCATTGTTACAAATTGAACATAATGAAAGCATAGTGATTAATCACAAAAACAATATGTAATTATATATGTGTTTTCCGATGGTCTTAGGCGACCCCTGTGAAAGGGTCGTTCGACCCCCAAAGGGTCGCGACCCACAGGTTGAGAACCGTTGCTCCAATTGATCATGCGCTGGGGAAGGTCTACTGTGCCTCCCCCAGCCGGATGGCCGCTGGGGAGATGGCCTTCCATACCTCGGCCCGTAAGCACCTAGAAACGTGGAATCTGACGCCACAGTGATCTATATCCAGAAACCAAGCCCTGGCGTTCCGTTGTAGCGATTCTCCGTCAGAAAGGAAAGAGACCCCGCACTCAGGGCAGCGGTTTTCAGGCTGTTCTGCAGAACCTCGGGGGAGGCAGGGGCCTGTAGACCCTGGAGCCCAGGACC